AAATATGTATGGAACTTCATACTCCACTAACAGAGAATAACTATTTTTCAAATATCAAAAGAGAGTTACAAAAATTATTCATATCCCAGGCTGCAAAAGAAGCTTACATAAATGCCAAAAGTATGAATACTTATTCTTTAACAATGCTGCAGTGGAACTAGGAATAAAAAAATGTAAACTATGTTAAGCCACAAGAAGATTAAACACTCAAATAATGTTTGTCAAAGAACTAAAAACTCTAGGGATAAATAAAAAATCATAGGATGCAGCTATAAACTCACACAGAGGAAAATTCATAAGTTTATGTACTTTTATTATTAAAGAAGCATCCGTGTACTAACCATTTGAATAAAAAAGTTTATAGCAACAAAAGAAGCACGAGAAAAAAACAGACATTATAATGAAGATTAAAGCAGAAATTATTGAAATAGAAAGGAAAAAAAAATGTTCGAGTTTATAATCCTGAAATTCATTCCTTGAAAGAGCCAATAAAATAAAATAAACCTTCAGTCTATGTTGATTAAAGAAAAATAAGAGATAAAACATATAGTTAGATAGTTAGACTGAACAATATTTGATATAGCACAACAAAGTGACTATAATCAACAATAAGTTAGAGTTTGCTTTAAAATAACCAAGAAAGTGAAATTGGAATGTTCCTACCACAAAGAAATGATAAAACCTGAGGCAATCAATACCCCAATTACCCTGATTTGTTAATTCACATGGCATGCTTGTATCAAAACATCACATATATCCTATAAAGATATACAACTGTTGTGTACCCATAATAATTAAAAATAAAATAAAGAAAAAAAAGAAAAAATAAGAATAGATACGTAAATGGAAAAGAGGGTGATAATCATAAAAGGGAAATTTATAAATTAAAATTATATCATATGTAATTCTTTATTAATAAAAATGAAAACTTCAATGAAAAGATAATTTCCAAGAAAAGTATAAGTATTCAAAATGTATAAAGAAGAGTGAATATGGTATTTTTATTTAGGATTGTTAAACTTATATTCATGAGTAGGCATTTGTAGTATTAACAATAGTTCATTAATAACTTTTCATTTTCTTCTATATTTTTTATATTTCTATTTCTTCCCCAAATTCTCAACCATAATTTACAAAGTTTTTTTAAAAAAGATCTTGTTTTATCTATATTTCTTTGATTATTAATGAGATGAAAGTTTTCAAAATCTGTTTATTGTTCATTTTACATTCTCTATGTTCCTATCATTATTTATTAGACAAGGTAGTTTATCTTATCTACCAGGTAGTTTATCTTTTTTCTAAAACAGTTAATATATGGCTAGTAACCCTTTGTCTACGTGGCAAACATTTTTTTTCTTAGTTTAATATGTGACTTTTAATGTACCTTTTCTCACTCAGAAAGTTTGTTTTTTCCTTTTTTTTTTCTTCTTATCATGGCAAGAAGTCCTTTTCCAGAAGGACAGAAGTTTTTAATGTTAATATAATAAAACATGTCAATATTTTTGTTTAATTTTTCTCTACTGGTATTATAGTTAGAATATCTTTCTATACTTCAAGACTATATAAAATCCATCTACATTTTATAGTACTGACATATTTTTACATTTAATATTTAAGTCTTTAATTCATCTGGAATTTACTTTTATGTAAGGTATAAGGTAGGGATCTAACTTTGTTTTTTTCTTCACATATATTTGGTTATTCCAATACCATTTACTGAGTGATCCTCTTATTGATTGATTAGAAATTGTACCTTATTGCTATACTAACTTTTTCTTGAATTCCATTGATCACTTTATTCTAGCACTAGTACCACATTCTTTCAATTATTATCATTATGTAATATATTATTTAATAAAGGAAACTCTTCCACATCACTTGAAAAATAACATTTTTTGGACATCCTTTAATCATTCTTTTATGTACTTTAGAAAAAAATCCCCCAGAAACTTAAATAGATTTTAATTATCAGAATAATTTGGAGATAATGAATGTTTCTTACAGTATTGAGTCTTGTGATCCAATAATATAGTGTCTCTCTTTATTAAAATTTATTTTTATCTGTCAGTATAATTTTATAGAAAACATACAAACCACCTGAGCTAATAATGCTACAGTGAATCAGATTATTTACTGAAGAATTTTCTAGCAAACAAGACAAAAAGTTAGGTATGAATATAATGAGTTATGTAATTTGTCATTATCTGACAAAAGGAAATATGTACATTTTACAGAGAGACAATTTTTCTTTTAGCCTCTTAAAAAATTTAGCATGAATCAACTTAATAGTTGCCAGTCATGTGAAGCCAGTATGAAAGACTATTATTGAATATACGTATTGGGTAATGGAGGGGACAGAAGCAGGCAAGTGAGATAATCAGGCTTGATAAAGTTTTCTGGAGATAAAATTTGAATCAAGTATAGAGCTTAGAATACTTTGAAGAATAAATGAAAATAACACATATCCAACTTTCTCCTCTTATAAGCAAATGACTCAAGCCTTTAACAGAGTTTGGATACATTTTCAGAAATTGGTTGTCAGGTCCTTCCTTGAACACTCTGTGAGAACAGAGCTGTGAGCATAGGCCATCTCAGCTGGTGAATCAGGGGAGACCCTTCTGCAAGGATGCCGTTCTCCTGGGAAAGCTGAAGTCCCAATTATATTCTCCCTGAATGGAGAATCTTCGTACATCAGCATTGGACCAATACAGTGGTTGAATTTGGTCTAAAGCCAATGTTTTAGAGTCTGTGAATGGTCAGAGCCCTTCCCTTCACACTATTTCACAGGTACTGCTTCTGCCTTCTCTGAATGCTAATCATAATCTCATTTAATCTCCACAAAAACCTGTAGCTATTATTATCAACCTTATAGTGTAGATGAGGACCTTCCCTATTCACACAGCTAATCAGTGATGGGACTAAGACTTAAATTTAAATTTGTATGGTGGGCAAGACTGTAATATCAACCACTGTCCCACATCATCTCCTCTCCTAAATGTACTGACATTTATATAATCGGCAAGAGGGTCAGCAATGTTCACTCTTGATGCAAAGAAGACATTAAAGTGAGAAAAATAGACTTGGTTTACTCAGTTTTAATAACTGAACTTTTCATTTTAAAGTTAAATAAAGAGGCATTTGGCTTGTTTTTAATTCTTACAGGGGTCCTAAAATCTTGATTAGAGTAATGCATCTTAAATTTTAATATGCATGTAACTCACCTAGGGATCTCGGGGTATGGCCTGAGAGTCTGCATTTTTAACAACTTCCCAGATAATGTTGATGCTGAGATTCCAAGTCCACACTTGGAGTGACGAGGAGCTAGGAGTTGACAACTTCTAATTTTCTAAATTTGAGTCAGGGCGAGGGGCAGTTACTAGCTTCTGAGTGCTAATCAAGACATGATGTCTGTTCTTAATGTAACGCAGTGATTACCAGCTCTGGTTGCTCAGTGTAATCACAGGGTGGGGATGAGATAAGTGTCTCAAAGTGTTCATGCCTCTTTGGTCTAACCCCCAGAGATTTTGCTTTGATAAACCTAGACTGTGGCCTGAGTATTGGGATTTTTAAAAAAATCTCCCCAGTTGATTCTAATGTGCAGTCAAAGTAGAAAACTTCTGGTCTAGTGTGAGAGATATGAAAAACTTTGCCAAGTTTTGGGAATGAAAATCTCCATGGGCCTAGGGTTAGGTGAATGGGCTTTTGAGCTTTGAAGGACATGCTCTTTAGAATTATAGCGTGGTGGAAGTGAAAGAGATAGCAGCAAAGAAGACTGCTTGAAGTTATTTACTAATTCTGGCAAGAAATAAAGAGAGCCTGAATTAAGGCAGTAAAGAGGGGATGGGTTAGAGAGAAAACTGAGATACATAATTGACAGCATCTAGGCTAATTATAAAGGATATGAGGAACAAGGGAGAGAGTGGAGGATACCTCCTGAACTCTGGCTTGGGAAGCAGGTACAGGAGAAGGGAAAACAACACTATTGGGTTTGGTCATTGAGTTTGAAGCACTTTTGAAATCTAGGTAGAGATGACCAATAAGTAGTTAAAAGACAGCCTAGAGCTCAAGTGAGAAATCCAGGCTGAGGATACAAATTCGATAAAGGTGGTAGTTGTCTTTATCCTGACTCTATCAGTACTTTGGACAAGTTATTTAACTGTTCTGTGTCCAGTTTTTTCTACTGTAAAAATGGTAGAGTTTACCATATCTGGTGGTTCTAAGGGAAAAGTAAGAAAATAATTACTTTGGAACACAGTAAGCACTCAGATTTTAGTAGTAGTAGTTTCATTGTCCTCATTCTAAAATTTTAGATCTCTTATTCTTTATATGGAGTATGTCACCCCAAAAGAAAATAAAATGAGATGTGTATGTTTTATAATTGCTGCCACTGCCAAACAGCGATTGAGAGCAGAATCTCATGGAAGAGACAAAGCACTGAAAAGTTAAAAGCACTTTCGGCACAAGATGAGAAAAAGATGAGGGGGTGATTACCCACCTCGCATTCGCACCACGTTTGAAACCTGCATGCGTTTCTCTTTCCCAGACTTTATTGAACTTTGTCATTTCCCAGGAGCCCCAATTTCCCAGTGCCAAACGTATTTCTACTGCGGCTACATGGGTGTCATTTTTAAATAGTCAAACTATGCTCTGACTTCTCATTAGAGCCTGTGCCATTCCCCGCACTGCCCTACGTGGTATCTACATTCACTCAGTAACTGCACTGCTGTAAAGGAATACCTAAATCAGATCTTAAAAATAGATTCATTTAAATTGTTTAGGGGCACAGGGCCTCGCCTCACTATGGCAGCAGCACGGCACAGCACGCTCGACTTCATGCTCGGCGCCAAAGGGGAGCCAGCCTGCAGAGGGCTGGCGGGCCGATAAAGAGTAATTCCTCTTGTCACGTTGTGGTTCTTCATTTTGCCTTTATCCCGGGAAATGCCTCCTTCACAGATAGAACTACAGAAGAACCACTGCATTGTGTCCTTCTAAGTATCGTGATGTTGGGTGTTCTTGAAACTGATGGCGAAACCATTCTAAAAGGCCTCCAGTCCATTTTCCAGGAGCAGGGGATGGTGGAGTCGGTGCATACCTGGCAGGACCACGGCTATTTAGCAACCTACACAAACAAAAACGGCAGCTTTGCCAATTTGAGAATTTACCCACATGGTTTGGTGTTACTGGACCTTCAGAGTTATGATACCGATGCACAGAGCAAGGAAGAAATTGACACACTTCTGAACAAAGTTGAAGAAAGAATGAAAGAATTGAACCAGGACAGTACTGGACGGGTGAAGCGATTACCACCCATAGTGCGAGGAGGGGCCATCGACAGATACTGGCCCACCGCTGACGGGCGCCTGGTTGAATACGACATTGATGAAGTGGTGTATGATGAAGATTCGCCGTATCAGAACATTAAAATTTTACACTCAAAGCAATTTGGAAATATTCTCATCCTTAGCGGGGATGTCAATTTGGCAGAGAGTGACTTGGCGTATACCCGGGCCATCATGGGCAGTGGCAAAGAAGATTACACTGGCAAAGACGTACTGATTCTGGGAGGTGGAGATGGGGGCATATTATGTGAAATAGTCAAACTGAAACCAAAGATGGTCACTATGGTAGAGATTGACCAAATGGTGATTGATGGATGTAAGAAATATATGCGAAAAACGTGCGGTGATGTCTTAGACAATCTTAAAGGAGACTGCTATCAGGTTCTAATAGAAGATTGTATTCCAGTACTGAAGAGGTACACCAAAGAAGGGAGAGAGTTTGATTATGTGATTAATTATTTGACGGCTGTTCCAATCTCCACGTCTCCAGAAGAAGATTCCACATGGGAGTTTCTCAGACTGATTCTTGACCTCTCCATGAAAGTATTGAAGCAGGATGGAAAATATTTCACACAGGGGAACTGTGTCAATCTGACAGAAGCCCTGTCGCTCTATGAAGAACAGCTCAGGCGCTTGTATTGTCCTGTGGAATTTTCGAAGGAGATCGTTTGTGTCCCTTCATATTTGGAATTGTGGGTATTTTACACTGTGTGGAAGAAAGCTAAGCCTTGAAGATGAATATCCCCAATCATGTGCTGCAGATAACCTTCCTGACCTCCATATGCTGGACCAAGGGTCAGAGTCTGGAACCAAGGTCCCCTGTCATGACTGGTGGGGGGTGACTGGCAGGACGCCTAAATGAGGATCCTAGGAAGAGAGAGCAGAGTCCTGTCATTCACCTAGGCTTCACACAGTTTTCTTCTACAACCCTATCACCTCTCCCATCTCCCCAGCTACAACAAAATAGATCAGCAGGACGCAATACCCCAACTCCCAAACTTTCAGCTGGGGAAGGGAAAAAATAGTTCTGTAATACAACTGGGAAGGCAACTAAAGAAGAATCTTAGCCACCACCAAATTGCAAGTTACGGTGAAGACTGGACCGAGAGTGCCTCCTTAATCAGAAGGTGCCAGAAAAGACATTACGAGGCAGCTATACAACAAGAACAAGAATAAACACCATACACGTCTAATGAAAAGAAGAGAACAACGAATGGACAGGCACGCTATGTCCGAAACAGGTGCAAAATCCATTCTAAATATATAACGCCATCAACAATAGTCTCTCCCAAGAGCTTTACAGTTATCAAGAATTGTAATACAATGCATGCTACCAGTGCCTAAAACGGGTCAATATCTAAGATAAAGGTGGCAAAAAGGACTACAGCAGTCCAACAGCATACACAGACCTACACAACAATAGTAATGCTCCCTGCTGACTGCCCAGACTCCTCTCTGACTGCCGCTGTCCTGTCCGCCTCCAGCTTGCAACTGGCCAGCCATACTCCACACTGGCCTATGTCCCTTCTCTCAACAGTTTCCTTTCTCTCCTCACTTTGTCTGGCTCAGTTCTCTCCTTTTTATATTTCTTAGCTTTAGCTAGTCTGCTTTCAATAGGGTCCATCTGCTCCTTGTCCTAGCACTACAGTCTTCTGACAATACTCTTAACTAGAGTCCAATTTTGTCCTTCACTGTTTGGAATTATTCTTCCGTGTTATATGCTACTCTATGAAGGCAGGACCTTGTCTGTTTTTTCCAACTATCTTTTCCACCCAGCTTCTGTGCGCCAGACATTGTAAATACTCAATAAAGACTGATTGGATTTGGCAGATGAACAAGCAATTAATCTTGGGACGAACAGGCAGGCTACATATGACAGCCAAAATTTGAGTTTCTTATGATTGTTCTGGGCCCTTCTGAGCAGAACCCATAACCCAGAGGGACATCATTGGCCAGGGGAGAGAAGTGAGCCTGAGTGTTGAGAAGCAGTGTAGCCGCCAGTCTACCTTCTAGAAAACCACGTTTCGAAGTTTCTTTTTTTTCTTAGTGTCGTAACACTTATTAAGCTAGATTTTCAACTGTGATTATGGTTCCTATAAGCAAGTTTGACCTGCTCATAACAGAGTCTACTGGAAGATAGTAGTCTCACATATGTATTTTGTGATGTACACCCGTAAAAAGAGGAGGCGTGGCAACTCTGATTGGGAACATCGAATATCAAGGTATCTAGATGTTCTCTCATTTTAGTTTACAACTGAAGCAATGGACCTCTGTTTCTCCATTAACATCTTTAAACCAATACAGTATCACCACATAATCACAAGTCAAGCACAATGAACTATATAATGATTTCTTGTACTTAAAGACAATAGAGTTAAATTGAGTAATTTGAGTAAGATTAACATTTACTTTTTAACGGAACCTGTCATTTCAAAACACAGATTCACTGGACAAGCCACACGTTTTCACCTCGATTCAGCATTCAAAAGCGTCCTGTACAACCAAAAACATTTGTGCCACCTGTCAATACTTGAAATTAAATAACTAAATATATTTTCATAATTAATTTATAAAGACGCGAACCGGTATTACTGATTTTCCTTTTGCTCCAAGCTCTGGTATTGGCTTGGCCGACGCATTGCTTTTCTAATTTTTATTTAATTTTGCGTACTTCTTCGTTCATTGTGGATCTGTCCTGCCCAATTTTGATTTCCAAAAAAATATGGATTTCCCAAAATATATATATGTTTGATTACACAAAGCCAAAGAGTTCATTGAATAGAAAAGCCCTAAAATTTTTTTCCTGCTTTTGTGATTTTCAATTGAAGCCTTACTATTCATTTCTTTACCTTTTATAAGCACCAAAATTTTAATCTAAGTCAATTTGGGATAAAGACCACCCATGCCAAGACTTCCTCCAGAACAAAACAATGATGTTCCATTCCTACCAAACATCCAAATTGGAAGGTTCTACCAAAAAAAAAAAAAAGCCACCACAGAAATAAAAACAAACTCCATCTAGGGGGTCAGTGCGCTTCTAGCAGTCCTTCGCTGTCGCTGTCTAACTGTCCTTCAGCTGACTTTGCACCAAAATAACACCTCCTCATCAAAATATACATTTCCCATTTGCTTTTTTTTAAACTATAAAAATACATTATAGGAAACTTTAAGGAATTCACAATAAATTGCCGACTCATCTTCGATGTCATGTAGTAGATTAAATACAAAATAGACTTGGTTTACTCAGTTTTAATAACTGGAACTTTTCATTTTAAAGTTAAATAAAGAAGCATTTGGCTTGTTTTTAATTCTACAGGGCGCCTAAAATCTTGATTAGAGTAATGCATCTTAAATTTTAATATGCATGTAACTCACCTAGGGATCTCCGGGTATGGCCTGAGAGTCTGCATTTTTAACAACTTCCCAGATAATGTTGATGCTGAGATTCCAAGTCCACACTTGGAGTGACGGAGGAGCTAGGGTTGACAACTTCCTGAATTTTCTAAATTTGAGTCAGGGCGAGGGCAGTTACTAGCTTCTGAGTGCTAATCAAGACATGATGTCTGTTCTTAATGTAACGCAGTGATTACCAGCTCTGGTTGCTCAGTGTAATCACAGGGTGGGATAAGTGTCTCAAAGTGTTCATGCCTCTTCGGTCTAACCCCAGAGATTTGCTTTGATAAACCTAGACTGTGCCTGAGTATTGGGATTTTTAAAAAATCTCCCCAGTTGATTCTAATGTGCAGTCAAAGTTAGAAAACTTCTGGTCTAGTGTGAGAGATATGAAAAACTTTGCCAAGTTTTGGGAATGAAATCTCCATGGGCCTAGGGTTAGGTGAATGGCTTTTGAGCTTTGAAGGACATGCTCTTTAGAATTATAGCGTGGTGGAGTGAAAGAGATAGCAGCAAAGAAGACTGCTTGAAGTTATTTACAATTCTGGCAAGAAATAAAAGAGAGCCTGAATTAAGGCAGTAAAGAGGGGATGGGTTAGAGAGAAAACTGAATACATAATTGACAGCATCTAGGCTAATTATAAAGGATATGAGGAACAAGGGAGAGAGTGGAGGATACCTCCTGAACTCTGGCTTGGGAAGCAGGTACAGGAGAAGGGAAAACAAACTATTGGGTTGGTCATTGAGTTTGAAGCACTTTTGAAATCTAGGTAGAGATGACCAAAAGTAGTTAAAAGACAGCCTAGAGCTCAGTGAGAAATCCAGGCTGAGGATACAAATTCGATAAGGTGGTAGTTGTCTTTATCCTGACTCTATCAGTACTTTGGACAAGTTATTTAACTGTTCTGTGCCCAGTTTTTTCTACTGTAAAAATGGTAGAGTTTACATATCTTGGTTTCTAACGGAAAGTAAGAAAATAATTACTTTGGAACACAGTAAGCACTCAGATTTTAGTAGTAGTAGTTTCATTGTCCTCATTCTAAAATTTTAGATCTCTTATTATTTACATGGAGTATCTCACCCCAAAAGAAAATAAAATGAGATGTGTATGTTTTATAATTGCTGCCACTGCCAAACAGCGATTGAGAGCAGAATCTCATGGAAGAGACAAAGCACTGAAAAGTTAAAAGCACTTTCGGCACAAGATGAGAAAAAAGATGTGGGGTGATTACCCACCTCGCATTCGCACCACATTTGAAACCTGCCTGCGTTTCTCTTTCCCAGACTTTCTTGAACTTTGTCATTTCCCAGGAGCCCCAATTTCCCAGTGCCAAACGTATTTCTACTGCGGCTACATGGGTGTCATTTTTAAATAGTCAAACTATGCTCTGACTTCTCATTAGAGCCTGTGCCATTCCCCGCACTGCCCTACGTGGTATCTACATTCCCTCAGTAAGTGCACTGCTGTAAAGGAATGCCTACATCAGATCTTAAAAACAGATTCATTTAAATTGTTTAGGGAGCTTTCTATTTCAATGAATCTTTTTCTTTTTGTAATCAACATATATAATTATTTTAATCCAATATTTTTGGAAATCAAAATTGATGCAGACAGATCCACAATGAACAAAATTATCAAAATTATAAATAAAAATAGGATCAATAGCAATGCTGTGCCAAGCCATACCAGAGCTTGGAGCAAAAGGAAAATCAGTAATAAGGATCCCGTCTTTATAAATAATTATTGAAAAAGTATATTTATTTATTTTAATTTCAAAGTATTACGGGGGCACAAATGTTTTTGGTTTACATGGATCGCTTTTGTAATGCTTGAATCGAGGTTAAAAGTGTGCTTGTCAGTGAATCTGTTTTTAAATGAAGGGTTCCTTTAAAAAGTAAATTTAATTTACTCAATTTACTCAATTTAACTCTATTTTCTTTAGAAGTACAAGAAATCATATATAGTTTCATTTTGCTTACCGTGTGATTATGTGGTGATATTGTATTGGTTTAAAGATGTTAATGGAGAAAACAGAGTCCATTTGCTTCAGTTTGTAAACTAAATATGAATGAACATTAGATTTTACCTGTATTCATGTTCCCAGTCAGATGTGCCAATCCTCCTCTTTTTTTACGTGTGTACATTGCACCAAATACATATGTGAGACTACTTCTTCCAGTAGATCTCTTTTATCTAGCAGTCAACTCTGCTTATAGGAACCATAATCACAGTTTGAAAATCTAGCCTTAATAAGTTTACTGACACTAAGAAAAAAAAAAAACTTTCAACTGGGTTTCTGGAAGTAGACTGCGAGCTACACTCTTCTCAACACTCAGGCTCACTTCTCTCCCCTGCCAATGTGTCCCTCTGGGTTATGGGTCTCTGCTCAG